GGTCTTTGGCATGTGAGTGTCCCTGGGAAACCCCTCCCAGGGCTGGGTCCAGCAGTGAGCTGCGGGAGGGTGAGGTTTGTGCCTGGCATCCTGTGTGCTTTCGCAATGGGAAGGCACTGGTGGATAATACCTTGTCATGTTCGGATCTGAAGTGCCAAGATGTGCCAGCCCGGACTTGGCATGTGCTGGAGCTGTCAGGAGCTGTTAGTTCAGGTGAAGATGAGGCACTTCCAAAGGCTGGGGGAACATGCTGGGCTCTGACAGAGAACATCAGCAGAGCAGGGTGGGTTGTGACAGAGACTGGAGCTGCCAGTGCCACCAGGAGCCTGGGCTGGCCACGCTCGGGGGGATGTGGCACCCCCTGAACAGCTGGAGCAGGAGCTTTGTGTGGGGCTTTTGGCAGCTTAAATTTCACCTGGTCAGGAGCAGCTGGAAGATGAAAGGTGTCTGAAGGTGCCTGGGTCTGAAGAGTGGCTCTTGCATCCCGCTACCCTCCCTGAGGGACCTGAAGTTGCTGGAGCTGGTGGGGTGGCCAGGAGCTGCTCTGGAGGTGTGAGTGCCTGTGAACAAAGGCCACCAGCTCCTTTGTGTGCAGGGTCAAGGCGGCCTTGTGCTGTTACAGCCTCATTGCTAACAAGGAGCTGGTTGCCTGTCTCCTCCTCATTAAACTTCAAGCTGCTCTCGTTCCCCTTTGAATTCTTCCACTTATCTTCACTGTAAAGCTCCATTGAAAGGGCTTGTGGTAGCTGGGATCTGACTCTAACACTTCCCATTGATGCTGGTGAGGTCTTGAAAAGATCCTTTCTCTGCCTCCTCCTGCTTCGTGTTCCTGCAAGGGACCATCTTCAAAGCCACGGCAGCTTTTGTGCAGTGCTGGGGCTGTTGCAGCATCTGCAGGAGCTTCGTTAGCTGCTGCCCGGCTTCATTAGCTGTCGGTGCAGTGCTGTCATTCCTGGGGGTCTCAGGCAGGGGTTGCAGGTGATGGGAAACCTCAGGGTGCAGCTCTCTGGGGTGCCCTTGCTCCAGGAGGGCTCTGGGGCTGTGGCTGTGGAGGCTGCTCACCCCAGCCTTGCTGAGCAAGTGGTCACTGATCTCCTGGCTTTTGCAGCCGGGGGGAGGACCGGAGATGGCTTGTGTGTAGCGTAAGTGCTTCTAAAATAGTCTTTTCTCCTGTTGCACTTGCTGAATTGCTTTAACTGCCTCTTTCCTTTTCTGAAAAGCCCAAGTGACTGTAATTGCAATCGCTCACATGCTCCCTGGAGCCGAGCTCACCCCTTGGATGATGAGCTCCTGAGTGGGGGCCCCTCCAGGAGCTGATCCCTGTATCCAGCAGGGCTGGGGGGATGTGTGTGAGGAAGGGGTTGCAGCCCCTCGGCCGGCACCCCCTGCTGCTCCAGCTGGGCACAGTGCTGCAGGGCAGGCTGGGCTCAGTCTGCCCCTCATCTCCACCAGCCCTTGTCCTGGTGTTTCCCCCTTTGCAGCCCCTGCCTGGCACTGGGGGTGTGGGTGTGCTCTGTGCTCCCAGCCTGCTCACTTAGAGGTGACCCCCCATTGAGGGTGATGGCTGCTCACCCCCTGCACCCTCCCCAGGATCCCGGCTCCCAGGAAGCCCCTGGGTAGTAGCTATTTCTGCCTGAAGCAGCATTCATAGGTTCCCTGCTGCTGTTCTGGGCAGCTCAGCTGTGTCTGCGTGAGGCCGAAGGTTTCTCCCTGCAGCCAGAGGGAAGGGCTGGTCAGGCCGGGGGCTGCATGTTTGCTGCAGACTTCCTCTGCAGCCGCTGTCCCGGGGGGGCCGGTGCTGCCTGGACACCGATCAAATGGCTCTGGGGGCGGATGAGCTGCTGGCCGGAGCCTCACAGCCGGGAGCTTCCTCTGCCTTTGCTGTCGTTCCTGCCTGCAGGAAGTGGTGGGAGAGGGATTAACCTTCTCTTGGCTCTCCCCTGTGTGGGGGTGGCCGCACCCCCTGTGTGCCCCATAGCTGAAGCTGAGCCTGTTCCCCATTGTGATGCTGGGGACAGGCTCCAGGTCCTGCCCCAGACCTGCTGTCCCTTCTCTGGGGTCCCCTACATCTGCCCTTCCTGTGTTCCCAGTCTGGTTGGTAATGGCTGGTGGAAGGCAGATGGGAGCTGGGCTCTGCAGCAGCCATCATACTGCCAGGCCTGGTTGTGGGGGGCTGGAGGCCCCCTGGGCATCCCTGTGCTTGTCTGACCCCTCCAGGGCAGGTATTTTTACATGTGACCCAAATACCCCCTGCATATGAATTACTGCCCTCCCTTGGCTGCTGGGGGGTGCTGCCCTGCTGGAGCTGTTCACCACCAGAAGCATTGCTGGGGAACAGCTCCTGGTGCAGGTGTAACCAGCATCCCCTGCCTGGGCACTGCCTGTGTCCCTCTGATCCTGCTGAGCAGGAGGGGGGGCATCTGAGGACAGAGTCAAGGTGTGGGGGAAGCTCGTGCCAGGTGTCTGGCCCTTGCTGAGTGATGGGCAGAGGATGCTTGACACAGGGTTCGGAAAATGTCACTGCTGGCTGCTAGTGTGTCTGCCATGAGCTCTGCTGGCCTTGGCACCTCGGGTGCCACCGGCCTTGCTGGCTGCCTGTGGTTGTCAACAGACCCCAGAGGCTGCTGTGGGGGGTGATGCTTCAGGGAAAGGCTGGGTACTCTGCTCAATGAGGTGCCCATGGTCCCTTCTGGGGGCTGCTGGAGAGGGAGAGTCCCCTGAGCCATGTAACATCTGTTTCTGGGGGCCCCTGTCCCCTGCTGCAGGGTGCTGCTCTCATGAGCTTGAACCCGCTCGCAGCTTGTCTGGGGCCGATTGCCTGAGCTGCTGTCTGGGCTCCAAGGAGCTGTGCTGGGCTTTGATGTCCCTGGGGTGCAGATGGGGGTGGTGCTGGGGGGTTGGCTCGTGCATAATGCAGGGCTCTGGAAGAAGCTGGGGTCTGAGATGAACTCACAGAGGTTTGAAAAATTAAGTGCCTGTCAAAATGCCTGTAAACTGTAGAGCAGCTGTTACCAGTCAACTGGCAGTGTGGGCAGCACCAGCCCCTCCTGCCAGCTGCTGCCTGGGGGTCCCTGCCCTGGCTGGGGTGGGTACTTGGGGTCTTTATCTCCCTTCGTGGGGCAGGGATCTTTCCTGCCCCTTGCCCAGCCCATCCTGGGCAGCTTTTCTGTGTTGGCCCTGGGGCTGCCATGGTTTGGCAATGCTGTTCTTGGGCTTCCTGACACAATTTGGAGGCTGTGCTGCCACGGGTGACCCAGCTGGGAGGACTTGCTCTCCCAAACACTAATGCAACAGCTCATGAGTACACGTGGGGGGTGTGTGGCAGTGCTGGCGTGGCACAGGGGCTGTCCTGGCCAAACCCTGCTCTGGCACGGGGTGGGGAGCAGGGCTGGGCTGATTCCTGATCCCTGCATCACCCACCGCACCGAACGGAAGCCGGGTCCCTGCTGTGGGACCGATCTGCCCCTGCTGCTTCCCATTAGCGGGTCCCTCTCTTGCTGCCTTAGGAACATGCATAATGCACAACCATTAAAGCCGGAGCAGCGCTTAGTCTGCGATTGATGCTTAACAGAAAAAAACAACCCAAAACCCAACAAATGGGCAGGAGCAGCGCGTGCAGTGACTCTGGGAAGGTGTGGGGGGTACATGAGGGACGTGGTGGGATGCGGGATCCATCCACCCAGAGGGACAGGGGTGGGGAAGCTCCTGCCTCTCACCCA